GTTTCTGCTGCTGTTGCTGCTGCTGTTGCTGCTGCTTTTGCTCCTGTTGTTGTTTCTGCTGCTGCTGTTGCTTCTGCTGTTGCTGTTGCTTCTGCTGCTGCTGCTGCAGTGCTGCAGCAGCACCTTTAATAGCCTGCTGCTGTTTTTTTTCTTGTATTGCGTTGGGGGTGCCTTCGAGAGAGCAGAGAAGAAGAAGAGACAGAAGAAGCTGAGTAAATAGTATTTAGTGTTTATGTGTCTCCTTTGTGCTGCAGTAATAATACGAGAAGAGCTGCAAGGAGACCCGCAAAAAGTACAAAGTGTCTCCTGCCGCTTCACTAACCCCACAACTCCCGGGGATCGTCTCCGCATCTGTCTCTGGAGACCAACTCCCTCAACTGTCTCCTTTCAAGTCATTAATCTCTCAAAGTCAAACTCTGTTGTCCTTGACAGAGGCTTTATGGAGCTGCAGCAGCAAACTCAGGATCTTGCTAAGCTATAGAAACCCATGCAGTAGCAACAGCAGCAGCAGCAGCAATAACAACAGCAGCAACAGCTGCAGCAACAAAAGCAAACGGCAACAATAACAGAAAAACGCAGAAACAGCAGCGACAGCAGAAACTGCAGCAGCAGCAGCAGCAGCAGCAGATGCTGCTGCTGCTGCTGTGGGTTGTTTTCTGTCTGGAGCTGAATTTTATGCGGCTGAGAGGGCGCCTGCAAGAAAGAGACAGAAGAAATTATAATAGGGCATCACAAAACACAAATGGAGACAGAGACAGAGAAGGAGACAGAGAAGGAGACAGACAGCTGCAGAGTAAAGGAGACAGATATAGCATAGCACAACATAAAGCAGCTTAATGCATGCAGAGATAAAACATATGAAGGCCTCAGCCACAGATAATTGAAAGAAGACACAAAAAGAAGCAAAAAAAAACAAAGAGATAGGACAGAGACAGACGGAGACAGAGACAGACGGAGAGAGAGACAGACGGAGACACCCAGCAAGACATGAAAAAAGAGTTAAGTGCAGTGGGAGCAAAGAAAGGAGACAAAAATAAAACAAATGCAGAGGACGCTGTCTCTGCCTTCAGCTGCATTGAGGTGTACATACACCGCAGCAGCAACCCTTAAGTGTCCCTTCATAATACCCCACAGGAACTCCTCGCTGCAGAGACAGAAACTTCTGATACTCCTTACGCCCCCAAAGCCCTGGGCTAAATATTACATACATATGCGTATATATATATATATATATATATACATATATATATATATACATTTATATATATATATATATATATATATATATATGTACATATATATATAATATGTATATAAATATATAATATATATGCATATATTATGCATATATATGTATATATATATGTATATATATATATATGTATAAGATGCTGCTGAAGTATACAAACGGAGGCCTCTAAACATTTCACCTCCACGGCCCCAAGAGGAAGAGCCTCAAAATTAATAATAATAAATAATAATAAATAATAATAATTAATATTAATAATAATAATTAATATTAATAATAATAATAAATAATATAGTAATAATAAATAATAAATAATAATAGTATTATTATTATTGTTATTATTTAATAGCCCCCACCTAATGCATAAGGGGCCCCTACAGCATTAAAAGGGGGCCCCTATAAAATGAGCCAGGGGCCCCTATAAACTTAATACGAAGGGCCCCTTTAGAGGGTTCACTTAAGGGGCCCCTATAGAGAGGGTTCACTATAGGGGCCCCCCTATAGAGGGTTCACTATAGGGGCCCCCCTATAGAGGGTTCACTATAGGCGCCCCCCTATAGAGGGTTCACTTAAGGGGCCCCCCTATAGAGGGTTCACTATAGGGGCCCCCCTATAGAGGGTTCACTATAGGGGACCCCCTATAGAGGGTTCACTATAGGGGCCCCCATACAGAGGGTTCACTATAGGGGCCCCCACAGAGAGGGTTTACTATAGGGGCCCCCCCATAGAGGGTTTACTATAGGGGCCCCCCTATAGAGAGTTCACTATAGGGGCCCCCCTATAGAGGGTTTACTATAGGGGCCCCCCTATAGAGGGTTTACTATAGGGGCCCCCCTACAGAGGGTTAACTAGAGGGGCCCCCAAAGGGTTCATTTTGGGGGCCCCTTTAGAGAGGGTTCACTTTAGGGGGCCCCTTCGTTGTTTTGTTGAGGGGGCCCCCTCTAAGCCTGCACGGGTTTAAGCGAGTGATTTGCTGCAGCTGTCTCTTTAGGGGCCCCCCTCCCTTTATAGGGCCCCTTCTTCTGTCTGTAAGGCAGAAGCAAGACGCCGCTGCAGATCAGGGAGGTCTATTGCGAGGACCTGAGCCTGTCTCTGCAGCAGCAGCAACAGCAACAGCAGCAGCAGCAAGGGTAGCAGCAGCAGCAGCAGGGGTAGCAGCAGCAGCAGCAGGGGTAGCAGCAGCAGCAGCAAGAAAGCGCGGGCTACGCTGCAGCGGGGCCCCAAGAGGGCTTCCAAGCAGAAGAAGGGAGAGCGAATTTCCTTTAAAAGGAGACACTTAAAAGGAGACACTTAAAAGGGGACACTTAAAAGGAGACACTTAAAAGGAGACACTTAAAAGGAGACACTTATAAAGGAGACACCTACAAAGGAGACACCTAAAATGAGACACTTATAAAGGAGACACTTCAAAAGGAGACACTTCAAGAAAAGGCACTTAGAGAGGAGACATCGGCAAAGGAGACAATTTAAAAGGAGGCGCCTGTAAAATGGAGACACCTTAAAAGGAGACACTTTAAAAGGAGACACCTTAAAAGGAGACACTTAATAAGGGGACACTTTCTAAGGAGACACCTTTAAAGTGTCTATAGGGAGATACTTACAAAGGAAACACTTTAAAAGGAGACACTTAATAAGGAGACACTTAATAAGGAGACACTTAATAAGGAGACACTTTAAAAGGAGACACTTTAAAAGGAGACACCTACTAGCACTGCATCTCGATCAAAGGCGCGGCTAGCGACACCATAGACAATCTCCTGGGGCCCCACAGGAGGGGCCCCTGAAGAGACACAGCAGTTAGGAGCGATGCGGCTTCCTAGTCCAAGAGACTCGCAGCCAGACACCCTTGCTGCGCAGCAGCAGCAGCAGCAGCAGCAGCAGCAGCAATAGCAGCAGAAGTGGCAGCAGCCAACACAGCGGCAGCGACAGAGAGAACAGCAGAAATTATCAAACGTTCTAAGTCACACAAAGGCATCAGCAGCAGCAGCAGCAGCAGCAGCAAAAATAGCGGCAGCATCAGCAGCAGCAGCAGCAGCAACAACAGCAGCAGCAACAGCAGCAACAGCAGCAGCAGCAGTAGTAAGTACCGCGGGCTCCAAGGCGAACGAATTCTGCAATAGTATTTACGTCTGTGATGGCTGAGGAGACAAAAAGGAGACAGAATATGCAGCAGAGCAGCAGGTGTTGCTGCAGCTAACTAAGAGACAGCTACTATAGTGGCTATTACTGCTGCTGCTGCTGCTGCTGTTGCTGCTGCTGCTGCTGCTGCTGGGGATTTACATGAGGCTTCTTCGAACATACAAAAGCCACCGATAGTCATTGGGGTAGAGCGCCTTAACATAACAAACAAAACACAAAAACAGGGTTTAGGGTTTAGGGTTTAGGGTTTAGGGTTTGGGGGGTGTACAGACAGGGTAGAGGGGACAGCAGGAGACAGCAAGAGGAGACAGTAGAGGGTCTCCTTACGTGTTTTTTATTATTGCTCTTTCTTTAATAATTGTATAAGGCCCTATAGCAATACCTCCAGGGCCCCCGTCTATTGCTGCTGCAGCACAGACGCAGCAACCAACCCCTAGCTCTACCTTACCTGACACCTCAGCCTCCGGGTGTACGTACACCTTGGGGCCCCACGCATATTCTGCTGCTGCTGCTGTTGCTGCTGCGTCACTCGCCATCGGCTGCTGCTGCTGCTGCTGTTGCTGCTGCTGCTGCTGCTGATATTGCTGTTGCTGGTACGGTTATGCCGCTTCTGCTCCTGCTGCTGTTACTGTTACTGCTGCTGCTGCTGCTGCTGCTGCTGCTGATTTGCTGCTGCTCTTTATGCAGCTTATTTTGTCTCCTCTCAGCTTCATGTGCAGCAAACAACCAATCACCAGAGAAGAACCCTCTGCTGCTAACGCCGTACACTAGCCAGCAGCAGCAGCAGCAGCAACAGCAGCAACAGCAGCAGCAGCAGCAAAGAGAATAAGTAGTAATTTTTAAAGCAATCTGTTAATACTTAAACTCAACAGCAAATAAACCTCAGCCTTACTGCTTTCTCAATTCATATTATCAGAGTCTGGGGGGCCCCCTGGGGGCCCCCAGGGGCCCCTACTGTGTCTTCTTACGAAGTATAGTTTGCAGTAGATATTATTTTTTATTAATTTAGTTAAATATATTATTTTTAATTGATTTAATTAAATATATTATTTTGTATTAATTTAATCTTAACTCCTTTGTTTGTTAATGGCTGCCTTGTTATAGCCGCTGCAGCAGAAAGATCTTCTGCTGCTGCTGCTGCTGCTGCTGTTGCTGCTGCTGTTGCTGCTTCCACTGCTGCAGCATAAGAGACCTGCGGAATGCTGCATGCATGTGGGCCCCACACCGGGCAGCTGCTGCTGCGGCTGCGCCGCTGCTGTGGCGGCGTTGCTGCAGACAAGTTGAGCAGTATCTCCACAGCTGCAGCAACAGCATCAGCAGCAACACCATCAGCAGCAGCAGCAACAGCATGCGCTGCAGCAGCAGCAGTAACAGCAGGAGGAGCAGCGCTAAACAACCCCTGGGGGACAGCCTGCAGGAGCTGCTAAGAACAGCAGCAAAAGCATCAGCAGCATCGGCAGGGACTGCAGCACAAGCAGACGTTAAGGCTGTGGAAGCAGCAGCAGCAGCAACAGCAACAACAGCAACAGCAGCAACAGCAACTGAAGCAGCCGCAGCAACAACTCCAAGGCGTCGGATTTTATTTCCCTCGCCTTTTCAGTGCAGCGCTCGAATGAAAGAACTCGCCAGCAGCAGCAGCAGCAGCAGCAGCAACAGCAGGAAGAAGAAGGCTAAATATAAGGGTCGCAGCAGCAATCGGAGCAGCAGCAGCAGCAGCAAAAGACATAAAAAGGAGTGCAAGTGGAAGGGCCGTGTAAAGGCTGCAACGCGGGAGGCCCTGCAGAAGCAGTGGCTCTCGCGCTTGCTGCTGCTGCTGCAGCAGCAGCAGCAGCAGCCTCTGACAGCAGCACAGCAGCAGCTGCTGTCGTTGCTGCAGCGGCATGAACAGCAACATGCAGGGATGCCTCAGCAGCTCTCCATGCCCCGCATGCAGCTGGGGACTAAGTTGCGTAAAGAGTTTCGTGCTGCAGTGCAGCAGCTGCAGCAGCAGCAGCAGCACAGCAGCAGCAGCAGCAGATCTGCTGCAGAGAAACAGCTGCGTGTCTGCCTCGTTGACTTTGTTTATTTTCTCCCCGCGTTGTCCTCAGCAACAGCAACGCACTGTCTCCTCCTAGCTGCTCACGCCTACCCGAAGCAGCAGCAGCAGCAGCAGCAGCAGCAGCAGCAGCAACAGCAGCAGCAGCAGCAGCAGCAGCAGGAAGGAGATGGTGGGGACGTGCTGCAGCTGCAAGCGAAGCCGACTGGGGAGTTGATTGAGCTGGCGTTTGCTGCTGCTGCTGCTCGCTGCAGCGAGAGATGTCTCCGGAGCTTCTTAGCTGCAGATTTATCTGTGCTGCTGCAAGCTTTGCTGCTGGCCCGCCGCAACGGCGTCGCAGCAGCAGGAGCAGCAGCAGCAGCAGCAAACGAGTTGGTAACAAGAGCAGCAGCAGAAATACAGTGGAAAGCAACAGCAGCAGACTTGCGAGAAACTGCTGCTACGTTGACGCAGCTTGCTGCTCTGGGGCATAGAGAGCCTGCGGTGTACGTACACCTCAGCCATCGCTTGATAGACCTTATTCTAGACCCTGAGCAGCAGCAGCAGCAGCAGCAGCAGCAGCAGCAAGACCTGCTGCTGCGTGTAGAGTGGCTGGCTGCAGCAGGAAAGGCGCTTGCAGCAGTGCAGCAGCAGGACCTCCGTGTCGCCCGAGTAGTTGTCCTTGCTGCTGCTGCTGCTGCTACAGCTGCTGCTGCACCTGCTGCTACCGCTATCCACGACAACGCTTCACAACGCCACCACAACCAGCAGCAGCAACAGCAGCAGCAGCAACAGCAGCAGCAACAGCAGCAGCAGCAGCAACAGCAGCAGCAGCAGCCACAGGCCCTCTTGCGCCCGCATGCAGTTGCAGATATGGCGTTCTTTGTTTCTGCTTACCAGCGCATGCAGCAGCAGCAGCAGCAGCAGCAGCAGCAGCAGCAGCAAGAGAACGAAGTATGGAGACACTCTCAAGCCCCCAAGGATGAACCAGCAGCAGCAGCAGCAGCAGCAGCAGCAGCAAGAAGGGGAGAGCCTCCTGCTTTCCTGTCTGCTGCAGAAGCAGCAGCAGTTGCTGCTGTGTTGCTGCCGCATGCTGCTGCTGCTGCTGCTGCGGAATCTCTGTGTGGGGTTCAAATCTGCACCATTCTCCGTTTCTTTTCTGCTGCTGCACAGCAGCAGCAGCAACAGCAGCAGCAGCAGCAGCAGCTCATGCTATGTTGCACTTTGCTGCAGCAGCTGCTAGAGAAGGGCCCCCATTCTCTGCCTCAGCATTCGCTTGCTTCCTCCTTGCAAGCGCTGCGCCACCTCTCCCCCTTGCTGCAGCAGCAGCAACCTTTGCTGCAGCAGCAGGAGGAACAGCAGCAACAACCGCAGCAGCTGCTGCGGCAACTCCGGCTGCGCTGGCTTGCTGCTGCTGCTGCCCCCTCCGTCGCAGCACGGATGAAGCCTCAGACATTTTTGCTGCTGCTGCATGGAGCTGCCGATGCAGCAGCAGCAGCAGCAGCAGCAGCAGCAGCAGCAGCAGCAGCAGGAACGGCAGAAGCAGAGCGCCGTCTGCTGCTGGTGTTGCTGCAGGCGTTGCAAGGAGCCCCGCTGCTGCAGCTGTTGGGGCATGCTCCACTGAAGCAGCAGCATCAGCAGCTTCTGCTGCTGGAGGAGACACTGCAGCACGCCGCTGCTGCAGCGGGGTTTGCTGCTTCACCGGAACCTCCGTTATCAAAGCAGCAGCAGCAGCAGCAGCAGCAAGATACACCCCAGCACGAGCTGCTGCAGCTGCAGCAGACACTTCAGCGCCTGCGGCGAAGGCTCGCCCAGCCACAGCAGCTGAACAGCAGCACCAGCAGCAGCAGTAGCAACAACAGTATCAGCAGCAACCGCTGCAGTACCCGCAGCAGCAACGGCAGCACAAGCAACCGCAGCAGCAGCAAAAGCAGCAGCAGACGAAAAGCATTTTAAGAGTTGTTATTTCTTGTCTTTACAAAGTCCCCCTTGACGGCGCCAGGGATGTGTGTGCTCAGCTGCAGCAGCAGCTGCTGCTGCTGCTGCCGCAGCACCACCTGCAGCTGCTCCTGCAGCAGCAGCAGCAGCAGCAGCAGCAGCAGCAGTAGGTTTTGTTTAAAGGAAGTGGCCGTGGAGGAGACGCACAGAGTCAGGTTCGATGAAGTAATCTGTCTCTCCTGTCTTTTTATCCTGCGGTGTACAGACAGCAAAAGGGACAGAGAGGAGACACCAGAGAAATAAATTAAAGAGACAGAAGAAGAGAGAGACAGAAGAGACAGCTAACAAATATAAATAGAGACACAGGAGACAGATAGAAAGATATTTAAGAGACAGACAGCCACATATATAACCGTGCTGCTGAGACTGCAGCATAATATATATATATATATATACATATACACACATATATATATATATATCTCTGTCGGTCTCCCTATATATATATATATATATGTATATGTACATCTATACATATAATATATATATATAATATATATATATATACATGTACATCTTTACATATAATATATATATATATATATGTATTCAGATTACTTTGATATGCTGTGCGTATAAATCTGCACAAATATATCCCAATCGAGCCCTTCACATTGTTGCTGTTTAGGGTTTAGGGTTTAGGGTTTAGTGTTAGGGTTTAGGGTTTAGGGTTTAGGGTTTAGGGACCTGGAGCTGAAGAAGAGACAGCGAAAGGACGCCGCAGTTCGACAGCTTCTGTCGACAAGCGGGAAGGAGACAGCCAGGCTGCAAATAAAAAGTAAAAGGAGACAGCAGCAATTTAATTAAATTATAATAAAGAGAGACACTAAAAATAAATATAAATATAAATAAATAAAGAGTAAAAGGAGACAGAAAAAAATTAAATAAGTCAAAATAAAAGGAGACAAAAAATAAAAATAAAGAGACGAAGGGGACAGACGAAATTAAAGGAGATAAAAATAGAGACAGAATAAATAAAAATAAATAAAATAAAAAGGAGACAGAAGAAATCAAAAGAAATAAAATTAAGAAGAGACACAAGAAACAAAGGTAGAGGAGACATAAGAAATAAAAAGATAAAGCAGAGAAGGGACAGTATATATTATATATAACATTTAATAGTAATAATAATAATAAATGTATATATATTATATATATAATAATAATAAATATATAATAATAATATATAATAATGCTAACAAATAAACAATGCTAATAAAAATATAATAATAGTAATAAATAAATAATACAAATAAATAAATAAACACTACTAGATAAATAAAATAATAATAAAAGAAGAATAAACTAAATAAACAAATAAACACTAATAGATATATTAATAATAGGGGCTAGATAAAGTAAATAAAAAAATAAATAAGATATTCTTACTCGAGAGAAAGCCCTAAAGAAATCTCGCAGCCAGCGGCTGTGGCCGACACAAACAACTGTCTCCTCTTCTCCTGTCATTGTCTCCTCAGCAAACAGCAGCAGCCGTCTCCACAGTCTGCTGCTGCTGTTAGGAGGGCCTTCATTCCCTGTAGGATCTATGCATGCTGCTGCTGCTGCTGCTGCTGCTCCTCCTGCTGATCCTGACCCTGATCCTCCTCCTCCTCCTCCTGCTGCTGCTGCTGCTGCTGCTGCTGCTGCAGAGGTTGAGAGACACCCGAATATAACGCTCTCAAGCCGAGACAGCGCGGGGATCCGCAGAGGGAGAGACAGAGGGAAGCCGTCAGGATTGCGAGTTGTCTCCTTTACATCCAGACACAAATAAATAAATAAATAAATAAATAAATAAATAAAATAAATAAACGAGAGGTAGCAAGCATTGATTAAAAGGAGACAGATAAATGCTTCCTGGAGACACATCAAATACTCACACCCCCTCTCTGTCACTCTCACTGCTAGAGACCCTGTCTCTGTCTCCTTATGTCTTTATCTCTCTTTCTCTTTATCTTTATCTCTCTGTCTCTCTCTCTGTCTCTTTATCTCTCTGTCTCTTTACATCCTTATCTCTCTGCTGTCTCTCTCTTTATCTTTATCTCTCTGTCTCTTTCTCTTTATCTCTCTGTCTCTCTGTCTCTCTGTCTCCTTAACTCTCTGTCTCTGACTTCGTCTCTTTATCTCTCTGTCTATGTCTCTGTCTCTCTGTCTCTCTGTCTCTTTATATATACAAATATTATATCTATCTGTTTATCTGTTTATCTGTTTATATCTTTACTTATTTATTTATTTATTTATTTATTTATTTATTTAGCTAACCATGAGTGAAGAGGAGACTCGCGCTGTACATCGACTCGAAGTCAGCAGAGAGCCGCAGCAAAACAACAACGTAGAATGTGCACGCCTAAACAAACAAACAAACAAACACTCTGCTGCTGCTGCTGCTGTTGCTGCTGTTGGGGATGCTGCTGTTGTGGCTGCTGCTGCTGTGGCTGTTGTTGCTGCTGCTGCTGCTGCTCTGGCTTTTGGTGCTGCTGCTGCTTCTATTGCTGCTGCTGCTGCTGCTGTTGCTGTTCTGTTATTGCTGTGCTGGCTGCCAGCGGTGCTGAAGCTGCAGCTGCGGTTGAACGTAGCAGCAGCAGCAGCAACAGCAACAGCAGCAACAACAACAACAGCAGCAGCAGCGCAGCAATAGCAGCAGCAGCAGGAGGAAGGGGCTCAGTGCCAAGCCATCACCTCAAATTCGACGTCAGAAAGAGGACCCGTTGCTGCTGCTGCTGCTGCTGCTGCTGTTGCTGCTGCTCATTCTGCATACTGGAGCATCTTGTAGTTGCTGGGGCTATCCCTGCCTTGTCTTGCTGCTGCTGCTGCTGCTTCTGCTGCACTGCAGCAGCAGCGGCGAATTGTCTGGCCCCTTTGAGTGGTTCTTCTGCCTGGATCGGTTCCCCTGTGCTATCTTCCGCAGCATTTGCTGCAGCAGCAGCAGCTGCTGCTGCTGCTGCTGCAGCAGCAGCTGCTGCTGCTGCTGCCTGGTTTTGAGCAGCAACTGCTGCAACAATGTCTCTTATTGCTAGAGACTGCTCCATCCCCGCCGTTGAGAGAGGAGAGTCTAAAAAGACAGAGTCTAATTCCCACAGCAGCAGCAACTCGCACAGCAGCAGCAGCAGCAAACGCAGCGGGAAGCGAGCTGTGCATACACCCCGATTAAAACACAGATTCCAGAGAGACTCCCTGCAGCAATAAACACAAATATAAATTAACTTAAATATAAATATAAATACGAAGTATAAATATAAATATTATTACAAACAAAAGTATAAGAAGTGTAATGCAGCAACAGCAGCTGCAGCAGCAGTAGCAGCAGCAGAAGTAGCAGCAGCAGCAGCAGCAGCAATAGCAGCAGCAGCAATAGCAGCAGCAGCAACACAAGCAGCAGCAGCGGTAGCAACAGTATCGAAAGCAGCAGCAGTAACAGCAGCAGCAGGAACAGCAGCAGCAGTAACAGCAGCAGCAGTAACAGCAGCAGCAGTAACAGTAGCAGCAGCAACAGCAGCAGCAGCAGCAGCAGTTACCCATGTCTAATGAAGATGATTCTTTTCTGCTGCAGCACAGCAGCGTCTTCAGGCAGCAATCTTTTGCGGTGTATGTACACCTCAAGGCCCTCTCTATCAGAATAAAAAATAAAATACAGCAACCACCTAATAAACACTGAGAGCTTCCGCAGCAAATTCAAACAGACCTGCACACATCACACGCACGCATGTTGCTGCTGCTGCTGCTGCTGCTGCTGCTGCTGCTACTGGTGCTGCTGCTGTTGATGATACTGCTGCTGCTGCTACTGGTGCTGTGGCTCCTGCTGCTGCTTCTGCTGCTGCTGTTGCTGCTACAGTTGCTACTGATATTGCTCCTACTGCTGCGACTGCTGCTGCTACCGCTGCTGCTGATGCTACTGCCAATGCTAGGGTTTCAGTTCGTTATGGTACTGCTGCTGCTGCTGCTGTTGCTGCTACTGCTGCTGTTGCTGCTACTGCTGCTACGGCTGCTACGGCTGCTGCTGCTGTGGTCACTCCTGATGCTGCTGCGGGCGCAAGCTTTTCAATTTATCCTGCGGCTGCTGCTGTTTCTGGTGCTGCTGTTGCTGTTGCTGCTACTGCTGCTGTTGCTGTTGCTGCTACTGCTGCTGTTGCGGTTGCTGCTGCTGACTTCTCTGACTACAGCACGCAGTAGAGATGCGTGGGCCTTGAAGATTTGGGCCTTGGATGCATCCTTCGTAGCAGCAGCAGCAGCTGCTGCTGCTGCTGCTGCACCTGGTGAGTTGCTGATGCCTGGGAGCTGCTGCTGCTGCAGCAGCAAAGCATAACGGATTAAGACGGCGACAACAAACAGAGACATCCACAGCAGCAGAGACAGCTGCAGCAGCGAAGTGCCTTGGGGGGCTTCTTCTTCTGTCTCTGCTAAGGGGCCCCCAGAGGGGCCCCCAGTGAACTCGCTCATCTGCTGCAGTTGCTGCTGCTGCTGCTGCTGCTGCTGCTGCTGCAGCTGCTGCAGCTGCTGCAGCAGCTGCAGCTGCCTTTACACTGCACTTCTCGTCTCCTGCAAGCCTCTTGTCTCTTTAAAAGGGGAAAGGGTGCATGCATGCGTGACCTGGCTGGTGGCAGACCGACAGTGCTGCTGCTGCTGCTGCTGCTGCTGTTGCTGCTGCTGCTGCTGCTGCTACAGCTGTTACTGCTGTTGCTGCTGCTATTTCGGGGATCTGGGGCATTAAATAAGAGTTAATGAGTTAATAATAAACAAACAAATACAGAAAATAAAAAAGCATAGAGCCCTCATCACAAAATAAAACAAACAAAGGAGGCCCCAGCCCCTAGCGGCTAACTCAGAAGAAGCATAAGAAAGTAAATAACAATAGAAATAAACAATAAAATAATTATTAATAATTAATATTATTTAATTATCTATAATAAACAAAGCAATATAAACTATAAACCCAGTAGACAAATTCTTATGTATAGTTTTATAGCAGTGAGGCTCAGTCAACTGCAGCAGCAAACAGAAGCACCCTTTATAAATATAATATATATATATATATATATATAATATTATATAGTATATTATATCATATATATATAATATTATATAATATATTATATTAGATATAAAGAATATAAACTATAATATATTATATAACATATTATATACAATGCAATATACTATATTATATTAAATGTATATAATATATATAATATATTTTTTATTATTATAACAAAACAAAGTTAAATAATATTTACTGCATTGTGTAAGGGGTTGAAGAGGACGGAACGAACCCATACAAATAACACTTCTTGTTTATCTTTATGTATATATATATATATATATATGTGTGTGTATAGACAGCATATCAGTATATCAATATATATATATATATATATATATATATATATATGTACTAATATGCTGTGTTTGTATATATCTATATAATATATAATAAATATACAGTTTTACGTACATATATATATGTATATATAGATAAGAATATATATATATATATATATATATCTATGTTTTTAGCTATGTTATTAATATAAAATATATAATGAGGAGATGAGTCGGGTATTAAGGGCAGCAGTTTTATTGCATTTGTTTGTTTGCTGCTGCACAGCGCCTTCATATTAATTTGTTTTTGGGTTTTGTTTGTCTGGCGTTATATCAGCAGATGCAGAGACAAAAAGAAAAAAGAAAGGGGCCTGCAGCTCCTGCTGCTGCTGCTGCTGCTGCTGCTGCTGCTGCTGCTGCTGCGGGCTCTAAACTGTCCCTAGGGTTTAGGGTTTAGGGTTTAGGGTTGCGGAGGCAGAGAGAGGAGGCGTCTCTAACATTGAATTTATCTGTCTCCTTTTTGTCTCCTCTTTGTTCACTTGATAATAAATAATAAATCTGTGAACAAATAACTATTTAATAAAAACAAATAAATAAACAGCTAACTCTTACTGTCTCCTTTCTCCTCCCTATACTAAATAACAATTTCTTAAGAGGCTACTTGCATGCGCTGTTATCGATGCAAAGCCCCAAAACCCCTTCAACAACGCAAACGAAGGTGGGGGCCCCCAGCAATGCCTGGGGGGCCCCCCGGGGGCCCCGACCAAAGCCAGGGGGGCCCCCTGGGGGCCCCCACCAAAGCCAGGGGGGCCCCCCGGGGGCCCCCACCAAAGCCAGGGGGGCCCCCCGGGGGCCCCCTTAAGGCGGAGGGTACAGCAGCTGCAGCAAACTAAACAACCAATTCTAGCAAAGAGCTGCCTAGACACCTCGGGAGGCCTTCTAAAGAAAGAACCTCCGAAATCTGCTGATGTTGCTGCTCCTGCTGCTGCTGTTTGTAAGGCTGCTCTGGCTGCAGGCTATGCACCTGCTGCTGTGGCTGCTGCTGCTGTTGCACCTGCTGCTGCATCTTGGTGAGCAGCAACACGATTCGCTCTACAAAAGCCTTAACGTCTCTTTGTCTCTGCTGCTGCTGCTGGTGTTGCTGTTGCTGCTTGGTCAAGTCCTGCTGCTGCTGCTTAGCAACTGCCTGGTGCTGCTGCTGCTGCTGTCTCTGCGGCATCAGCGTGGCTGCTGCTTTCCTCACCGCAGCAGCAGCAGCAGCAGCAGCAGCAGCTCGACGAAGTGCTGCAGCAACAATTGGGGTGTATGCGTCCTTAAGGCCATCCTCTGCATCCTCCAGCACAGCAAAGACGTGGAAGAGTGCAGCTGCGCATACACCGCAAGAACAAATGCAGCAGCAAAGTTAACAAGGGTGCAAGCTGAGAACGCCCAGCAGCAGCAGCAGCAGCAGCAAAAGCAGTAGCAGCACATGCAGCAGCAGCGAAAGCAGCAGCAGCTGCAAACGCAGCAGCAGCACATGCAGCAGCAGCGAAAGCAGCAGCAGCTGCAAACGCAGCAGCAGCAAATGCAACAGCAGCAAAAGCAGCAGCAGAAAAAGCTGCTTGCGCTGCTGCTGCCCGTGATGCAGCACAAACCTGCAGGTCCCTCTGTCGAGTGAAGCTCCTTTTCAGTCAGCTGCTCACACAGCTCAGTGAAGGCTGCGTCCTGCAGCAGCAACAGCAGCAGCAAAAGCAGCAGCAGCAGCAGTGTGGCAGCAGCACCGCTTCCAGAGCCTCTTCAAGCAGCAACTTTAGAGGCAGCAGCAGCAGCAGAGCAAAATAACATGGGCAGCAAAGGAAGACAAGACAGCAACGAAGGTAGCACCAGCAGCTGCAGCAGGATCAACAGCTGCAGCAGCTGCAGCAACAGCAGCTGCAGCAGCAGCACTGCTAGCTCACCAGCAGCTCCTCCTGAAGCAACTGCGACAACAACTCCCTTAGCTGAAAGACCTGCTGCTGCAGCAGCAGCAAATCGCTTGCTGCAGTGCCTGGACGGCATCTGATGACTTTCTCAGATATCTGCAGCAGCACCACACAAAGCTTGCTGCAGCTGCTGTTGCTGCTGCTGCTGTTGCCGCTGCTGCTGTTGCTACTCTTGCGGCTTGTGCAGACAGCAGTTTCATGAGAAGCAGCAGCAGCAGCATCAACAAGAGCAGCAGCAACGGGAGCAGCAGCAGCAGCACAACAACAACAACAACAACAACAACAACAACAGCAGCAGCAGCAGCAGGGGGAGCGTACAGCTAGGCGTTGTGTCTCTGCAAGTTCCTGTCCTCGTTCTAAGGCGTGCAGCAGCAAAGGAATGTGCGGCAGCAGCAGCAGCAGCACAGCTTTACGCCCCAGGGCTTTGATACCAATTGCAGCCCCTAAGGCGCACTCTATGCTGCTGCTGGGGTGAAGGAGACACCGCAGCAGCTGCAGCGCAGCAGCTTCTTCTACCGCATCTAATGCAGCACGCTGTCTCCTCGCTCGTTTAAATAGACCTGAAAGAATTGCTGCTGCTCGTCGCCGCAGATGCAGCTGCTGTGGGGTAAAGGCTATGCATAAGCCCTCACCTCTTGCTGCTGCTGCTGCTGCTGCTGCTGCTCCCCCTGCTGCTGCTGATGCACCAGATGCTGCTGCGGCTGAGGGACCTGTTGCTGCGCCACCTGCTGCTGCTGCAGAAGATAAAGAAGGAGGAGACAGCTCAGGTAAAGGGGCAAGGAGACAGTCTATCAACGGGAGCGCAAATTGATGTACCTGCATATACACCCAAAACATAAACAGCCAGTTAGCAGACACCGCAGCAGCAGCAGCAGCAGCAGCAGCAGCGGAACCAGCGGCAGCACAGGCAGCAGCAAGAGAATCAGCATCAGCAGCACCTGCTGATGCTGCTGAAACCCCTGTTGCTGCTTTCAAGAGCTGCTGTTCGTGCGGCAGCGCAGCACCAACAGCAGCAGCCTCAGCGGAGACAGCACCAACGGCAGCAGCGGGAGCAGCAGCAGCAGCAGCAACAGCAGGAGCAGCAGCAACAGCAGCAGCAAACTCACGTAAGCGTGGATTGGGGTGTGGGGATTCTGCAGCACCGCCTCACCCAGCTGCAGCAGCAGCGACGCGCGGTGAGGCAAATGCTGATAGATCGGCAGCTGCAACAAAGCAGCAGCAGCAGCAACAACAACAGCAGCAGCAGCAGCAATAAGAATGAGGCAGCACAGTACACCTGAACCTAAAGGAGGAGGAGACAGGAATAAGTAACGAGAGACAAAAGGAGACAAATAAACAAACAAATAAATAAATAAATAAATAAATAAAAATATATCGTACAAGACAAAGAAAACAGACAAATAAATAAAGGAGACAAACAAATAAACGAAGGAGACAGATAAATAAATAAAGGAGACAGATAAATGAATAAAGGAGACAAATAAAGACAGAAAGGAGACACACAGAGACAGCAAGGAGACAAAAGAGATTAAAAGGAGACAGATGCTGCTGCACACCTGACTAGCAAAGACCTGAGCTAAAGACGGCAGCAGCAGCTCCACTGCTGAGATGCTGCTGAGGACCTTGACAGCTGCAGCAGAGACAGAAGAAAGACAAAAAATAAAATAAAATAGAATAAAAAGGAGACAGACATCTACAATGCTTTCTATCTCTGTCTCTCGTCTTGTCTCTGTCGCCCTCTGTCTCCTTCGTCTGTCTCTTTGGGTCTGCTTCTTGCTGCTACTGCTGCTTCCGCTGCTGCTGCTGCTGCTGCTCCTTCTGTCTCCTCTGTCTCTGTTTGTCTTGATGCGTGTCTCTGTTAAAGGTGTCTCTCTCTTTCTTCTGTCTCTCTGTATAAACCCCAAACCCTAAACCCTAAACCCTAAACCCTAAACCCCTACTTCTATTGAAAGCTCTTGCGCTGTCTATCCCTGCCCGTTCCTTCATTGCTGCTTCGAGTGTCTCGTTGACTGATGCCAAGAACAGTTGCTGCTCCTGCAGCAGCAGCAGCAGCAGCAACAGCAGCAGCAACAGCAGCAGCTGGATTCTCTCTCTCCACTGAAACAGATAACAAACCCTACAAACCAAAAACTGTAGAAGCTGCTGCTGCTGCATATATACCAGCAGCAGCAGCAAGTGCTGCTGCTGCTGCTGCTACTGCTGCTGCTGCTGCTGCTGCTGCTGCTGACCTTCCCAAGAACGCAGTTGACCTTGGGCGCCACCAGCAGCTCCTCCACTGGCAGCATTTCTGCACCTGCTTCCTCCTCTTCCTGCTGCTGTTGCTGCTGCTGCTGCTGTTGTCGGGTGTACAGACGCAGTGCGAAGTTGTTGCTGGCCCCATGTGCTGCTGCAGCAGAGGGAGTCATCCCTGCTGCTGCTGCTGCTCCTGCTGCTGCTGAGCGCGGCGTCTTGCCGTCGATTCCTTGACCTGCGTGGAGCCTTCCATCCTTTGCTGCTGCTGCTGCTGCTGCAGTGTCTCCACCTCCACCAGCAGCAGCAGCAGCAGCAGCAGCAAGGACAGCCCACGGGGGGGCCTCGTTCTGAGGCACTGCAGGAGATACACCATCAACAGCAAGCCAATGCACTCCTAAGACTGGTGGCTGAGGAGGGGGCAGCAGCAAATCGCTGAATACTAACTCCTCCACATCTACTGTCTCTTCCCAGCGTATGCTGCTGCTGCTGCTGCTGCTGTTGCTGCTGCTGCTGTTGTTGCTGCTCGAAAGAGGAGCAGGAGAAGCAGCACGCGCAGCGGCGAGTGCAGGGCCGCACAAGAAAGGATCATCATCTTCTTGCTGCTGCTGCTGCTGCTGCTGCTGTTGCTGCATGCGGTTTTTCAAGTGCTGCTGCAGCTGCTGATCGAGGTGCTGCTGCTGCTGCTGCAGCATCAGCAGCAAATTGCTAGGCCTCGCCTTCTCCCTCCGCAGCAATCTGCTGGAGCCCCAAGGCCGAGGCAACGCCATATAGCGGCAGCAGGTGAAGCCATCGTACCCCAACGCAGGCTGAAAAACAAGCAGCAAGACACAATCTGCTGCTGCTGCTGCTGTTGCTGCTGCTGCTGGTGTTGCTGTTGCTGCTGGGATTCGAGTAGCTGTGCGGTGGAGGCAGCAGAAGCAGCAGCAACAGCAACAGCAGCAGCAGCAGCAAGAAAACCTAGCAGCCACGTACAGCAATGAAACAAGAGCGAGAAGCCATATAAACGCCAGCAGCAAGAACAGTAGCAGCAGCAGCAGCAGCAGCAGCAGCAGCAGCAGCAGACCTTGAAATTCAATATCCTCATGGCTTCCTTTATGTCAGAGACGCACAAAACGCCGCCCCCAGCAACTCGAGCGCTGCGCCGGGAGAGCTTGAGGGAAAGAGACAGCAGCTGAGCATACACCCCAAACCCTAAACCCTAAACCCTAAACCCTAGACTCTAAACCCTAAACCCTAGACTCTAAATCTTAGACCCTAAACCCTCAAGCTAAAACCCTGCGGCTCTCCAATCTCCTGCTTCCACTGCTGCTTCTGCTGCCCTCGAGCACCAAGCCCGCAGCAGCAGCAGCAGCAGCAGCAGCAGCAGCAGCAGCAAGTGCAGCAGCAGCACATGCAACAACAGCACAGCTCAGCAGCAGAACCTGCAGCGGCCTCAATCACCACAGCCTCTTCACGAACAGCAACTGCAGCAGCAGCAGCAACAGCAGCTCCAGCAGCAGCAGCAGCACGCGGCCGTTCTTGCTGCTCCTCCTAAATGCAAGAAGCACAAGCATCAGCAACATCAACAGCAGCAGCAGCAGCAGCAGGGGCAGCAGCATACCTGAAGAAGCCTGCCCTCAACCGCAGCATAAATGAGTTTTGCTGCTCCTTCTGATAGTGCTGGGCCTTCTCCTCTTGCTGCTGTCTCCTCTATGCCGTGGGCCTTCGCCAGCTGCTGCACCAAAGCCGTTCCCTCTATATGCAAGTCTCGTAAGGCTTGGGGGCCCCCCGGAGTCAGGGGCCCCTGCTCCTCGCCCCCCAGGGGGCCCCCCAGGGGGGCCCCCAGGGGGGCCCCAAGGGGAGCCCCGAGGGGGGCCCCCAGGGGGCCCCCTGGGGGCCCCAACAGGTAGGGGGCCCCAGGGGGCCCCTCCATACTCTCCACGCCATACGGGAGGCCCGATAGGCGGCCACATGTTGTAAAGGACATTATAATATTATATATTTTGTAGAGCAGGGGGCCCCAGGGGGGGGGCCCCCTTCAGTCATATAGACCCTCACAAGACACACAAAAATATCATGCAGCTGCTGCTGCTAGTTGTGCTGCTGCTGCTGCTGCTGCTGCTGCTGTTGCCAGTTCTGCTGTTGCTGCTAGTTCTTCTGCTGCTGCTGCGGCTCCTGCTGCTGCTGCTGCTAGCTCTGCTGCTAGTTCTGGTGCTGCAAGCCAAGATGCAGGGCGTCACTGATGCTGCTAGCTCTGCTACTGCTTCTGCTGCTGCTGCTGCTGCTACTGCTGCTGCTGCTACTGCTGCTGCTGCTACTGCTGCTGCTGCTACTGTTGCTGCTGCTAGGGGGACAGGTCCTGAGGCTCCGTTGCTGCGGCTACAGGAGAGCGAGAAAGGAGACAGCGAGTGCTAAGAAGGAGACAGGGGCGTCCCTTTCTACAACAGAGGGGCCCCCAAGAGCACAGTAAGAGGGGCCCCCTATCACCCCCACAGGGCCCTGAGCACCGACCCTGGGGCCCCTAAGGAGACGCAGCAGAAGGAGACACTGCAGCAAGAGAACAGCTGCATTATCTAAATTAAAATTGTTTATTTATTCAGTTTGTTATAACAACAAACCCAGCTAAAGGGGGGCCCCCGCTAGGGTACTGCAGCAGCGGGGGCCCCCATCCCTAAGGGCTCCTTGGGGCCCCCTCCTCTTCTTTTTTTTTGTGTTTGCCTACAGTTTGTTAGCTCTTTATCTATAGGCATTATTATTAGTGTTTTTTAATTACTCTCTTACCTTTAGACTCCGAGAAGAGCTGCACATACACCTCAGATGTATATACTAACAGCCCTCTGCTGTACGTACACCTCAGGAGAGCAAAGCCATTAGAAGTCTCCCTCTAGTTAGATATAGGGCTGCTTACGAAGCGTTATGTACAGCTTAATATGCATGCATGCATGCATGCATGCAGCATGCATGCATTAAGCTGTACATACACATACACCCCAATCCCTATGGCTAGCTGACCCCATATAATAATGCTAACATACCCATCTATTTGGGGTGTCTGTACACCTGAGGTTATTCGGGTGTATGCATGTACACCGCAAGGTATTGACAGATTTATCTATGTCTAGGGCTCCTTATCTTCAGGTGTATCTGCACCTCGAACTGTTTTATTGTGTTTGTTCGCTTGAGCCCCAACTCCTTCCCCCTTAACCTTAGCTAAATCATAAAAGCCCTGAGGCTCTCAGGTGTATGTACATCGCCCAAAGGTAACAGCTACTGGTGGGCCCTTTGAGGGCCCCCAAAGGGCCCCTTAGCGCCCCCATGGGTCCCCAAGATCGTATGGGCCCCCATGGGGCCCCCAGACCCTAAGGACCCCCGTGGGGCCCCTCCCTGGGGGCCCCCGTTATGCCCCCCCCTGGGGACCCCCTAATGCCCCTTCCTAGGGTCCACTGTGGTGCCCCTCTTTGGGGGCCCGTGTGGGTCCCCCCACTGGGGGACCCCTAGATGGCCCTCTCTGGGGGCCCCCAGAGAGGCCCCCAGGCAATCAGCGGGCCCACGAGTGCACATTGAAGGGACTCGAGAGGAAGGAAGGAGGCACCCGACCCCATATGCAGCCCCCTTTCATGCAAATAGGGCCCCCAGGTATAGGGGGGCCCCCAGCTAAAGAGGGGCCCCCAGGTATAGGGGGGCCCCCAGGGAAAGAGGGGCCCCCACCTAGTTGCTGCGCCCCAAAAGCAGAAGGCTGAGGAAGGGACCATCCCCCTGGTGCTTCTGCTGCTGCTGCTGCACCTGCTGCTGCTGCAATTGGGTTACTGGCCAGCTGCTGGGGCCCCCTCGGTTGGGGGGCCCCCCAGCTAGGGGAGGCCGGAGGGGCCTGGGGCCCCTTCCAGACAGTACCCCTTAGCGGCAACGCTGCAGGGAGGCAAACAAAGACAACAGAAGCACCAGACACACTCGGCTAGCCAGCTAGCCAATTAGCTAGCCACCCCGCTGGCTAGCTACCTAGCTAACTAGATAGATAGCTAGCTAAACCCTAAACCTTAAACCCCCAGCAGCTGCAGCTGTCCAATGAGCGCACAACTCCCCAACTAAGAGGGCGCATATATGCCCCCAGCTAGCAAGCAAACTAGCTAGCTATCTAGCGATCTAGAAGGCTAGCTAGCTAGCTAGCTAGCTAGCTAGCTAGCTAGCTAGCCAAGAGTGCTCACCCTGTTTGATTTGCCAGTCTGCATACTGCACTATGTGCTGCAGCGGCACCACGAAGTTGCAGTTGGGGCAAGGGACGCCTCTCAGCCCAGCTGCTGCTGCTTGCTGCAGCAAACCCCCTCCCTTCTCTGTCTCCATCTGGGGGCCCCCAGGGCCCCCTTTCTGCCCTGTCAATTCCTCTGGGGCCCCCCTGCTGCTTCGTGGAGGGCCCCCCTGCTGCGACGAGCGTCGCCTGACAGCAAAATCTCTCGGGCTTAAAGGCACAACCGGCAGCCCTAAGGATGCCCTGGGAGACTTTAGGGGCCCCCCTGGGGGGCCCCTTTGGGAACCCCCGGGAGGGCCTTTTGGGGGGCCCCCTGGGGGCCCCCCTAGAGACCCTTTTCCATATGAAAATGCTGGGCTATCCGCCTCCAGGGGACTGTTTAGTCCTCCAGGGGGCCCCCAGGGGTGCCCCCAGGAGGCCCCTCCAGGGGCCCCCCAAGGGGCCCCCGCAGGGGCCCCCCCAGGGACCCCTCCAGGAGGGGCATTTGCTGAGGAGAATGTGTCTGTTTGTGGATATATCTCTTGTCCATTTAGAGGAGTTGTCTGTCTCCTCTCAGTTGCAGTGTATAGACGGGCCCCCGAAGGGGGGGCCCCTGGGGGCCCTGGGGGGCCCCTACTTTTGGGTACCAGCTGGCGCCAAGAGTCGGAGACCCTTTGCTGCGATTCCGCAGGAGAAGACGGTGAGCTGCCAGCAGCAGCAGCAGCAGCAGCTGCTGCTGCTGCTGCTGCTGCTGCTGTTGGTTGCTGCTCTTCTGGTGCTGCTGTAGTTATGCTGTAAGTGGAGGCGTTAGGGCCCCCGGGGCCCCCAGAAGACGTTGACTGTAATCTTCCGCGAGGAGCCGCAGGGGGTTCTACAGAAGAAGATCTGCTGCTGCTCTTGCTGCTGCTTTTGCTGCTACTTCTGCTGCTGCTTTTGCTGCTGCTCCGCTGCAGCAGCACATCACATGGCATACACAGCGCAGCAAAGAGTAGGGAAGAGACAGCAGCAAGGAGACACAACCAGAGACAGATACTTTTATTTTATTTTACTCTTAGGCTTGCTGGCTGTCCCTCTTTGTCTTTATGCTGCTCGGCCTGTATCTATTTGCGTCTATCTGTCTCCATCGCTGCTTCTGTCTCCTTTTAATTTATCTCTACTGTCTCTTTGTGGGGCTCATTGTCTTCGTCTTCATTTGTCTGTCTTTGCTTCTGTCTCCCTATGCCTCTCTACTTTGTTTATTTGTCTCCCTCTCTCGTCCGCTTCCTTCTTTATCTGTCTCTGCAGCTATTTATATGTCTCCTATTATCTGTCTCTTATCTGTCTCTTATCTGTCTGCTTATCTGTCTGCTTATCTCTCTCCTTACATATCTATTTGTTAGTCTCTTCTATATCTCTCTGTCTCCTTCTCTGTCTCTTATCTGTCTCCTTATCTGTATATTTATATATTAGTTTGTTGGTCTCTTCTACACTTTCTGTCTCCTTATCTGTCTGCTTATCTGTCTCCTTATCTGTCTCCTATATTAGTTAGTTGGTCCCTTTTACCTCTGTCTGTCTGCTCATCTGTCTCTTTATATATTGGTTTGTTTATCTCTTTTATCTCTTCCTGTCTCCTTATCTGTCTCTTATCTGTCTCCTTATCTGTCTCTTTATATATTAGTTTGTCGGCCCCTTTTATATCTTTTTGTCTCTTACTCTTTCTCTTCTCCTTGCTTCAGAATGCCTGGCTCTAAAACTAAGCAGGGGCCCCTCTGTTGGTGCAACCATTGAAGAAGATCTATTGCGTGATCCTCTACTACCTGTCCCTGGGGGCCCCAGGTAGGTAGGGGGTCTCCTCCCCGTCGTACTCATCTTCAGCAGCAGCAGCAGTTGCAGCAGCAGCAGTTGCAGCAGCAGCAGCAGTTGCAGCAGCGGAAGAGGCTGCTGCAGCAACAAAAACCCCTTTCTTGTTGCTGCTCGTTGCAAGCCAAAGGAAACAAAGAGAGACTATGAACAATATGAAAACCCGAGGGTCCCTGCTCAGATGATGTCCTTCAGGGTTTAGGGTTTAGGGTTTAGGGTTTAGGGGTTGGTGTCTATGAACAAGGCGCTGAGAGAGAGAGCCCCAAGCCAAAGGCACATGCGGATATATATCCCTTCAGCTGCAACAGCTGCTGCAACAGCGGCAGCAACACCTTCTGCAGCAGCAGCAGCAGCAACGGCAGCAGCCGCAACAGCAGCAGCTGCAGCTGCAACACGAGCTCGTGCAGCTGTATATACACCTCAGCTTCTGGGTAAGCAGAGAGATTATATAAGCGCAGCAGAAAGAAGAAGGAGGCCCCAGGGGCCCCCTACGTATGGGAGTGCATCGGCAGCGCGAGCTGTGTTGTGCTGTTTAGGTTATATGTTGAATGCATGCACGCAATTGCAGCATTAATTGCAGTTGTTTGAAGAAAAGGAGTAATAAAAATGAAGGAGAAAAGAAAAAGAAAAAGAAAAAATATATCACCCAAAGCCCCCTAACCGCTGCAAGCCAATGGTACGGCTATAGAGAGATGAAGGCGGGGAGAGAAGCTGTAATTAGAGTCTTCTAAGGTATTGTTATTTATTTTAAGAATAAAATATTAAAGAAATATATTTTTTAATTCAATTTAAGCAATAAAATCAACAAAACAAACACTCATCAAGATATATCTCTCACCTCCCCCCATCACGGCTGACCGCTGGCGACAGCTGCGCATACACCCCAACGTGATTGAAGAAAAAAACAAAAAAAAGAATAAATGCAAACGAATTCCATCATATTTTTAATTGTTTTGCATTCGTCGACAAACTTAAAAACTTTCATTTATTGTTTTTCTCACCACCTCTCCAAAGGGCCGCAGCTTCTACCTGCACATACACCGCAGCTGCGCATACACCGCAGCTGCTGCATATACACCGCAGCTGCTTCACATACACCGCGGCTGCTGCACATACACTGCAGCAGCTGCACATACACTACAGCAGCTGCGCATACGCCCCAGCAGCTGCGCATACATCGCAGCTGTTGCACATAATTACATCTGCTGGGCATACACCACAAGAGTAGTTATATTACAAAGTAAACAGCCAAACGTACATAGAGGGACCCCACAATCCCGTACGCATACACCGCGCAGGTGCATAGAAGAGTCATCAATATACACAGATACAAACTATAATAAATAATATTATTATATATAATAAAAATAATGAATATATATAGGCGCATAAAAGTGCAACTACAGCCCAGGTGTACACACACCTGAAGCTGCTCTTCATGAGCTTCGCCTGTCAAGAAATAACATAAAGACAATTCTCACCCTGATGCTGCGTACAGAGAGAGCGGGGTGTCTCTGCTTGTGCTGCCCCATCTTGCTGCTGCTGCTTCTGCTGCTGCTGCTGCTTGCGGCAGCAGCCTGCAGCGTGGGTTGTTCATAGGGGCATGTCTAAAGAGCAGCAGCAGCTTCAGCAGCATCAGTATTTTGTTTGCGTTGCTGCTTCCACTTGAAGTGTAGTGTTTGCTGCTCCGCTGTTAGCAGCACTTCCTGCTCCTTTGATGGTGGGGGAGCCACGCTGCTGACCTCTTGTGCATAGCTGCTGCTGCTGCTGCTGCTGCTGCTGCTGTTGCTGCTGCTGCTGCCTATCAACCATTCAGGAAAGAAGAAAGGTGCCTCAGCAGCTGCTGCTTCTCTTGCAGCCTGCCGCTCTCGGTGCTGCTGCAGCTGCTGCAGCTGTAGCTCCATCTGCTGCTGCTGCTGCTGCCAGACCCGAGCCGCTCTCTCTTTCTCTCCTTCCTTCAAAGACGCCCAGCGCTCGCCCCAGTCAAACCCCTGAAAACCCTAAACCCTAACCCTTAAACCCTAAACAACAAACCCCAATGCATAAACCCTAAACCCTAAACAATAAACCCTAAACAATAGACCCCAATTTGTCGCCCCTAAACCCTAAACCCTAAACTATCAACCCTCAACAATAACCCTCAATTCATAGCCCCTAAACCCAAAACAATAAACCCTAAACCCTAAACAATAAACCCTAAACCCTAAACAATAAACCCCAATCAATAAACCCTAAGCCCTAAACAATAAACCCTAAGCTATAAACCCTACATCCTAGACAATAAATAATAGGTTACAAGCAGTATGCCCTAGTTCATAAACCCTAACAATAAACCCTAAACCCTAAGCCCTAAACCCTAAACAACAAACCCTAGACATACAAGAACCTACACTCTTCAGGGCGCAAAAGCACAGGTAATTTCCTGCTGAGCCTTCTCCCTAAACCCTAAACCCTAAACCCTAGGCCCTCACCCACTGCACTAGAGCCCAGCTAAACCCTGACGAAACCCTAAACCCAAACACTAAGCCCTTGCCCTCCCGAATAAGCCCTATACCCTAAACCCTAAACAATAAACCCTCTAAACCCTAAACCCTAACCCCTCTAAAGCCTCGCCCCTGAGGTGGTGTAGCTTCTTCTTACTCTTATCTCCCCGTTATGTTTTGCTGCTTCTCTTCTTGCTTGTGCTGCTTGTCTCTGTCTCTCTTTTTGTGTCGCTCTGGCTCGTTCCCGCTGCAGCGCCATTTGCTGCTGCTGCTTCAGTGCTGCTGCTGCTCTTCTTCTTTGTGTCTCCTGAATCATTTCTAGCCTTTCTTTCCTCATTTGGGTAGTCTTAGCGAGCTGCTGCTGCTGCTGCTGCTGCTGCGCTGCAGCAGCAATCTCCAGAAGAGGCTTCAGTGTTGCATACGCCCTAAGCGATCCCCGCCCCACAGCAGCAGCAACACTATCATTTTTGCTGCCTTCTATTTTGTTTAGCAGCTCCAGCAGCGGCACTTCGGGGGCCTCTGCTGCAACATCAGCCAGGAAGAGATTCTTCTCCTTAGCCTCCGTTGCTGCTGCTGCTGCTGGTGCTGCTGTTGCTGCTGTTGCTGCTGGTGCCGCTGCTGCTGCTGCTGCTGCGGGGTTTGCATTGAAGGCCGTCGGTGTCAGTGAAGCTCCTCCTTGAAACGTTGGTGCAGCAACAGCTGCTGTTGTTGCTGCGGCTGGAGTTGCTTTTGCTGCTTCTGCTGCTGCTGTTGCTGCTGCTGATACCTCTGGTCGGCGTAGAGTAGGCTGCACAGAAGAGCCCCTGTTTCTTGCTGCTGCTGCTGCTGCTGTTGATGCTTGCGCCCCTCTGTATCTAAGGGATGACTGGGGTCTTCGTCTTCTATTTCTTCTCTCTTCTTCGTTTGTAATTACTCCGCTGCGGGGGGCAGCAGCACTTGTCTGCTTCTCTCCTTCTGAGTGAAAGGACCTAAGGCCAGGCTCAGCTAGCTGGCGCTCCCCTGCAGCAGCAGCAGCATCAACGTCTGCTGCAGCAAACGATGTGTCGTCCTGCTGCTCTTCATGCTGCAGCTGCTGCTGCTGCAGCAGCTGCAGCAGCAGCTGCAGCTCCAACGGCTGCAGCTGTACATCGTCCTCCTGCTGCTGCACCTGTCTATGCTCCTGCTGCTGCTGTACTTCCTCCTGCTGCAGCTCTGCATACTCCTGCTGCTGGTGTTCATGCTGCTGCTGCAGCTGTCGTTGCTGCTCCTCCTGTTGCTGCACATCCTGCTGCTGCTGGTGTGCATTCTCCTGCTGCAGTTCTGCATACTTCCGTTGCTGCTGCTGCTGCGCATGCTGCTGCTGCTGCTGCATGTCCTGCTGCTGCTGGTGGGGGAGAAGATCACCTGCAGCGCTTTCTACGGGTTGGAGTATGCATGGGCATGGGGCCAGGAGCAGCAGCAGAGCAGCAGCAGCAGCAGCAGAAACAGCAGCAGCAAGGGGTTTTCTACGCCTCCTGACTCTACCCTCGAGGCTGTACATGACGCTTCATGCAGCAGAGAGGGAGGGAGCAGAGGAGAAGACCACTACCGTGACCAGTGGTCATGCGCATGCGGAGGCGGGGCTGAGGGCGCTGCTGCAACCCCCAACTGCTGCTATTGACTACTAAGCAAAAGAAGGAAATATAAAGAGATGAAATAAAATGAAGAGGAAGAATTATATTAAAAATACTGCAGGAAATAATTTGATGAAGCTCCGCTGCTCTGGCCGCCTAACAGACGAAGACCTGCTGCTAGTTGTTGTCTACTTGCTGCTGCAAATGAAGTCAAATAAGATTAAATTAAACTAAATTAAATTAAATGTTTCTTTTTTAAATTAAAAGAAGGAAAAACAAACAAGAGATGCCCCCTACCCCGCCCCCCCCCACC